CAATAATACTTTTTCTATTAGTCATAATTATGTTGATCATTGTTATAAAAAAACTATGGAATATGTGGAAAAAAACTAAGTAATATATTCAGAATAGCAATTGGCATCCCCAGCATATCCAAGACCAACTGTATGATTAGAGGCCAGAAGAGGTCATCTCGTGATCAGATTTAATATAGAAATTGGAGTTAGCTGGTATTATTGCTTTTTGAGTGATTTACTAAGAAAAAATTCAGATAAACATCCTGCTGATGAATATGATCATGATCCTATAGAAGATATTTCAGATAGTTTAGCAGGATTAACATTAAATAGTATTATAAAAACTGCTGTTAAACATGCTGTTAAGAAATCAACAGGTCACAAATGCTTTACTTGCGGAAGATCTGGACATAATTTCCAAAACTGCTCTCGAAAGAAAAAAAAAGCAGGAAGTCTAAAAAGGGTAAAGTTAATCTCACTACTGTAGATTCAGATTCAGATTCGAGTATTTCTTCCGATACTTCTTCTAGTAATAGTTCTAATACAAGTTCTTCTAATTCTTCTGATTCTTCTGATTCTGAAAACAATATTACTGTCAACATTGCCAAGACAAAAAAAAGTAAAGCAAGACTCTAGTTCCAAGAAATCGTCTCTTAAAAAGATATCTAAAACTTCATTAGAGAAAACTATTCATAAAGTCCTCCAAAGTGAACTTAAATTAATTTTTCCTGATCATTTCTCCCAAGACTCTATTAAAGCTAATATACCGAATCAAGCACCTCTAATTCAGGAAAAGATAGAATCTCAAAGCAATACTTCTCCAATTACTGAAGTTGTATCACTAGATCCAGATGAGAAAGAAGATTTGGATAGTCCGATGGAAATTGATTTCGTTAAGAAGAAGGAGCCGAAAACAAGTGTTGCTACTATAAAGTGTAAAATCAAATGTTTAAAGATTCTTGCTATGACAGTTGACTCTAGAGCTGAACCACCCATTATAACAGAAAATATCGTTAAACATGTAGAAGCTAAAATTGATAAATCTGAAACACATGATCTTAGTGGTATTGCTACTGTTCCGGTTGAATCTGTTGGGGTTGTTCACAAATTACCTATTACTCTAGCCCCAGGCTATACTATCCATGAAGATTTTATTGTTGTGAAATATCAGAAGCCGACGTTAATATTTTCTAATCAGCTTTTGAAAAAATACAATTGCGTATTGAATTGGAAAACCAATGAGCTAAAAATTCCTCTTAATAGAAAAGATTA